ACGATAAATAAATAAATAATTAATGTTGTTGGTTTGTATATGTTTGGAAGCATAAACATCAAATCATACAAACTTTAAAGTATTTGATTAGAAAAACAAATCAAGCTGAGAACCCATCAGATCCCCCAGGCTGACACGATATAAAGCATAACCTTTATCTCTTTGATTCTATTATTAGTGTTTCACTTTTTGTCCAAATAGATCACATGATTCATGTTTTATCTATATTCAAATAATTCATTGAAGTCCTTATCGCCTCAAATGAAAAAAAGCCAAACATGATATAATATATATATATATATATATATATATATATATATATATATAAAGGTGGTGTTTGATTGGTTTGAGTTTGACCTCAAAGGTCAAAATTACTTGGAGATCACATGTTCAAATCCAAGGAGGAATAAAAATTCCCTTGTAACCACGGAGATTCAAATGCGGTAACTTCTAGCTATCTGCAAAGCAGGTGGTCGTCCTGGGATTAGTCGGCTCGTATAGCGAGTTGGATATCCAGATTAATCAAAAAGAAAAGAAAAAAAGAACACGATAATATCTACATGTAATATGTGATTTTTAATATAAAATTATATGTGATATATACGTTATTTATTTATTTTGATAAAACACTAAAATATTAACATGAAAATAAAATTTCCACCAAATCTATGAATACACCACTTATTGAATTTAGCTTTTTGAAACTTTCAGCTTCTAGATTATTTTGAACAAGTCTTAATATAGATTTTACTATTAAGATACGATGCAACATGTTATCTTAGGGGTCGTTTATTAAACACTTACTTGGTAAGTGCTTATCGAATAAATTTTCTTATCGGATGAACATGAGAAGAGTAAGAATCTTACCGGGTAAGAGCGATGAGAATGATGAAAGTCTTACCCGGTAAGTGAGGATGACGGCTTTTACCAAGTTAAGCGCTTACCCAGTAAATTGTTGCATTCGATATGTTTTGATGTACTAAAATCTTGCGCATCAAAATAAATCAGAGTGTTTACTCATATCGATAAGTGCTTACCGGGTAAGCAATTGGGTACTTAACCATCACTAGAATGTAGAATTGTATCAAAAGTTCAAGGATTTTGCAAATGGAGTACAAAATATAGATTCAATTGAGCATAAGTTCAACTTTCATATACTTTTTAAAGGCATTAATCACCGTAGATCGAACCTAAAGATGGTTAAATCAAAATAATTAATTTTGTTTAAAGTTCTACAAAATGTAAGACTGACGCCAACAGTTCATCATGAAAGAATAGACTTATTAAGCCGAGATCACATCTAGCATCTTTTAGAAAAAGTACCCGTTGAAGTCGAATTATTTATTTGAAATAAAGGGTTGTTTTTTTTTATTATATTACAAACAATGGTGTTGTTTAATTAATATGTTTTAGGGTTTATGTACTACAACAAAATCGAGTTTATAGGACACTCCCAATTTTTAAGCGTCCTAATAGACCTCTTTATAAGATTTAGTTTATTAGACCAAAAAAATAAAGTGTCCTATCTGAATGCGTTGTAATAAGTTTATGTGACGTTTTTTGACGTCGTAATAAGTTTTTTAGGATACTTTTAATATAAAACGTCTCATTAGCAACTTTATAGGACATTATTTGAAAAAATGTCTTATAAAAACAAATGTTCTATAAAAAATTGAGTTTATAGGACACTTTCTAAAAAATGTCATATAAAGTTGCTAATGTGACACTTTGTATTAAAAAACTTGTTAAGACGCCTAAAAGTGTCATATAAACTTATTACAACACCTTTAGATATGACAATTTATATTTTGGTTCTATAAATTAAGTTCTATAAAGCAGTCTATATTGGAACGCTTAGAGGTTTGGGGTGTCTTATAAACCCAATTTTGTTGTAGTGACGTTTGGTGAATGTGAAATAAATGTATTAACAAAAAACAATGACCCTATTTTTTATACATATGAAAACAACGTACCCCATGCATATTGTTAAATAATCCAGTATAACTTAAATTCTTGTGCGTCATTAATTATGGGTTGATTGTTATTTTATAATAAAGCCATATTTATATCCATTTTTCTGGTTCATCTTTCACCTTAATTTTATAATTGATGAGTATAGTGAAACAGGAAATAGGGGTTTGTATGTGGGTATGGGAAACACTCCTAGAAATTCTGGATCATCACATGTACAACTTACTGCTTAATTTGAATTAATGTTCATCCAACTCGAAATATATATATATATATATATATGAACGATCAAATGAAAACCATTCAATTTGTACAAACCATGCAAATCGTCCTTATCCGTCGATTTTATTGTTTAATCTTATAAAAAAAAATTCATTAAATTGTTTAATCTTATGAAATTGTTYCATATAATACTTTTTTTGATTAATTTGTTTCATATATGGTTATGAAATTGTTTTATATAATGCTAATTAATGAAATTTTAATAAAACTGTTTCATGTATTTCTATAAAATTAAAATAATGAAGATGATAATATCCATGATTAACATCATCTATAATAAAAATGATTAATCAATCTCTTATAATTACAAAAAAATAAATAAAATGAAAAATTATGATTGGTTGAATGAGCTTTGCACGGTTTGTACAAATTGACTAGTTTGTATTTGATCGCTCATATATATATATATATATATATATATATATTGTAAGAAAAGAAGAAATTCTAATGTTGTAGTTCACATAAACATTAATTTGTTTACTTCATCAACTAGAGGAATCAAATCTCCAGAACTTTGTTATTGAGATAGGGTTGTTCAAATGGTCGTGATTTGTTGAAGATAAAGTGAAGATTCTGATTTTAAACATTATATATATATATATATATATATATATATATATATATATATATCTATACTATATTATAATGCATTTGGCTAAAACTCTTAAAAACTCTTAAAACTCTTAAAACTCTTAAAAACTCTTAAACTCGTTCATCCCTAAACGATTTCATTCCTATCCGATTTCATCTCATATCTGAATTCATGTAACTAACTGCAGATAAACAC